GTTTTTCTGTGATGGGTTCGCCTTCAACTTTAGTTTTTTCAATCAGAAATTTGAGTGCTTTGCTGTCTATGGTATTCAGTGTTGTCTTGTCCATTGGTGAGTTGTGGTGTGCTTGGGTGGCATTTTGAACAATTTGTTTGAAGGAGGCCGCGTCGCGGCCTGTGACTACCATGATGTTCTCGTCTAGGGAGGTTTGTCGACCCTCCTTTCCACTTGCTCAGTCCTACTTGCTGAGATGAGAAGCCCAACCTTGTGGTTGTGGGAAGATGTGGAGAGGTGAGAGGGGAATCTGGAGGAGAGTCTATAAGAGGCTGATGGGATTGGGAGGAGGGGGGAGAGGGGATGGGGTTAGTGAGCTTCTCGTCGAAATCACTTGAAGTGAACCTGGCCGACTACTAGCCCCTGGACAGGATCTCTCTTCTTTCGACAAAAGAACCTGCCTTAGAAGCTGCCTTACCGCTGCCGTACGGCTAGACTTCGGTTCACTTGTCCTTTTGTCCTCTTAGGAGATCTGTAGCTCGTACAGCTCCTCTTGTCTCCTCATGGGGCCGTTTTGCCCTTTTTCCGTAATTGGAAAAAGGTGCTAAAAGACAAAATAGGGCTAGATTTGCTTTTGTAGCTTCGAGAGTACGTTCGTCTCGCCCTTTTTCCATAATTGGAAAGCAGGCGAGAGGTCTTAGGCCTAGATCCTCCTCAGATTCTCTTCATGATTTTTGTTTTCTTCTCCCTCTCAGATTTCGCCCGTCGTATCTAGTCTCTTGCTGCTTGGTACTCGGATTTGTCCTCTTCAGCAACCGATATTGCCCTTCCTCTTACGTGGTTCCCGAAAAGTGGACGGCTCGATAAGCTTTCTTGGTTGTTGTGAACAGCATGAGCCCTTGATGGAGACCCTATCGCTAACCCTCTCGTTGGCCTACGGGAACGATCCCACTGGCAACCCTGTTCGAGACTGGCGAACGTCCAGATAGTCGAGATCTTGCTAGGAGAAGCTCCCAGAGATTTGACTCTCCGCCCTATCGCTTTTCCTATGGTTGCCTCTGTCATCCCTAGTCTTGTCTTTTCCTATTGTCGTGTTCCTCTACCGACTTCTACGTTGAGTTCTTCCTCACGCCTAGATGAATGGTTTGATAGTCGCTATCTCGCTAGGAGATGCTCCCTAAGAGTTCCTAGAGGAGACGTCCCGGGGGAGTGAATCTCCGCCCTTCCTGAAATATGATCGACTCAAATGTACGGTGGGATAGGGTCGAGGTGCTTGGGCGCGTGCTGACTAATCTGCGCGGCGTCACGCCGTGATGCTGTCCGTCGCGCGAGAGTTTGGGGCGATGGCGCGTGGCGAGGTGCGGCTTAGCGCAGCGACGTAGCGCTAACCAGCGGCGCGTTCGCTTTCTTTACATCCGTTGTATGCCTGTCTGTTAGGGGGTATCTTATTTTACGAAAAAGGAAAAGAACAAGAAGACTTTTTTTCCTTTTCTCTTCTTGTCTTCTTCGTTTTTCTTTTACTAATCCATGTTCTTCTCTCAATTCACCACCTTTCACTACCTGCCTATGACTGCTCCAAAGGCTATACATGTCACCCCTGTGAGCATGCAGGGATTGCAAGTTGCCCTTTGTCAAGATTGGGGTCACCGGTGGGTGCCTGGCTAACACGAAGACCGAGCATTTTTGCCAGTAGCTGTGCCTCCGTTTTCATCTCCTCACCCCTGTCAAGTAAGAGCAGTGTCTAAGGCCAGCACTCTCCCAGCACACCAGACAACCCACTCACACATACACTGAAACCCATGTTTGCTAAAGACCCTAGTAATACTGGCCGGGGGATCAAGCCAACTATCTCAGGTGTAATAGCAGTGTCGGAGGCCAACACTCTCCCACACATCACACACAACCACTCACACACACACATGCATACTCGCACCCGTGTTTGTCTAAAGACCCTAGTAATACCGGCAGGGGGAGCAGGCAGACTATCTCATGTGGCTGCATTGTTCTCGTTTATTTGCTTTTTTTTAGGAGCTGCAGCCTTGATGTGTCATTGTTGAACTGACCGACCTAAAGTAGTTCTGAGGTACTAGAGCATTCACTTGATCCCGTCAGGATTCGAGCTGAGGTATGTTTATCAACAGTCCAGGGGTGTACCATTCAGCTTCAATGCACACTTTGTTGTTTTCTATTTTCTTGCCTCCCACCCCCGACGTGTCCCAAGTTGTGACCAGAGGTGTCCAGAACAAGTTCGCACTCAGCACATGTGGCTGAATTGCCCAGCCATCAACCTTGATAAATAGAATTGAGATCGAATCCTTAACGCTGAATTAGGTGGGGCCGGCCAGTCCTATGATCCTACTCTTGATACATGTCTTCACAACATCAGGAGCTCGTGCTTCATCGCACCAAACTTATTCATGCACAAGAAGCGCACGGACACCATGCGAGAACACTTCAGAGATTGCTAAAAAGTTTTTCTTATACATCTTTCGTGTACTCTCTCTCTCTCTCTCTCTCTCTCTCTCTCTCTCTTCCCCCCCCGCAAAAAAAAACTCTCACAGCCCTCACTCACTCTTTCCATGTTTCCTTTCCGTATTAGCTATGACGTCGGGCGCCTGTCAACTCTCACAGGCCTCATTCACTCTTACCACAGAAGAGAGCCAAAGGAAGGAAAGAAAGAACTGCACAGGAAAAGGCCAAAAAACAGTTGCAGTGTGCTTGATGGGTGGTCTTTTCTTTCCGCAAAGTCAGCTCTTTTATTGATACATGCATGGCAATCTATATGCAGTATACAGAATAGATTTTAAAGAAATAAAAGCAAGGCATGGCTCTCTACATGAGGGCCTCTTTCCACTGATAATGTGTGTATGCACGTTTTACTTGAATGTAATGTGCAGTCTGTTCAAACAAAGCGTACCTATGTTTTATTAAAATATAACATGTATGTTATATTCGACGAATCATCGTATCCGGATTTATCAGACCAAGTTTAAAAGGGAAATTTTGATGCACTGTACGTACGCTATATTCAGGGGAAGACGGTAGTGTATGGCAATCGTACAATCAAAGATGGGAAAGCTCACAGAAGACCAATCACACATAAGCCGAGTTGAAAGCTGAATTACAAGGCCGGAAGCACAACGAATTAAGTATGCACTGAACACTGAAATTTCTTGATGATTAAGGCCCTCTCCATGCCTCTGACAACCAATACAACAACAGCCAACCGTGGTGTGTTCACCTCTCCTACTCTCCTACTCTATCTACTCACTAGTCTCTCCGTTCCACTCTCTCTCTCCGCCCACATGGCTCTTGCCAGATGTCGCTGAAGACTTCGGAGTTGGCCAAGAAGGGAAGTCTTCAGCGACATCTGGCAAGAGCCATGTGGGCGGAGAGAGAGAGTGGAACGGAGAGACTAGTGAATAGATAGAGTAGGAGAGTAGGAGAGTAGGAGAGGTGAACACACCACGGTTGGCTGTTGTTGTATTGGTTGTCAGAGGCATGGAGAGGGCCTTAATCATCAAGAAATTTCAGTGTTCAGTGCATACTTAATTCGTTGTGCTTCCGGCCTTGTAATTCAGCTTTCAACTCGGCTTATGTGTGATTGGTCTTCTGTGAGCTTTCCCATCTTTGATTGTACGATTGCCATACACTACCGTCTTCCCCTGAATATAGCTAATGTCCTCCCCTCACCTGACCTCCCCAACACCCAGCTTCCTTCTCAGCGCTGACTAGCTATGGCAGGCACTGGCCTCGAAGCCACTGCAGCTGCTTCCTCTCTCTCCCGGGCGATATCTTCCCGCAATGCACCGCTCCAAAGCTCTCGCAGGCGGCCAATGCCTGAATGGGTCTCCCCACAGCCTTTTCTCTTTTGTCTTCTCCGGAGGCCAGAGTTTGGGGCCCAATAAGCAGTTCCTGCCTTCAGGCCTGAGTCAGGGTCCCAGCCTTTTTAAACCACCAGTACGTTTCCGAGCCAAAGAATAAAATATGCAGTTTGCATTCCGGCATAACTTTCGGGGCTCGGCCTCCGGAGCAAAATGGCCTGCGGCAGTTTCTTTTTTTTTTTTTCGGCACACAGGGTGTTTCCAGCCCCGGAGAAAAGTGCCTCGCGTGTAATTGGTTTAACTAACATGGGGACTGGCCCTTCCGGTTAGTTACAGGGCTGGCGCCTACAGGCGTGACCTTGACTTAGGGTCGGCCTTATATCTCCTCGCCACGGCCTTCACTTAGGGCTGGGCGGCATTTGGCACAGGTAGCCTTTTGAGGGGCTCGGCGTGGAATGCAGCAGGGAGATTCTCAGTGATTGATTGTTCTCATTTTGCACAATAGAAAGCAGGAGAAGGTATTGAAGGGAAGGGGTGAGGGCTTTATCTCAGTCAGGCACCCGACTCCATATCTACTTCGTGTTTGAGCTTTGTTGCACTTTATCGACCGTATTGGTCAGGTGGGGGGTGAATGAGAGGAGAGAGGAAGGATAAAGGTGCGAGAAAGAGTGTGCAAGGGATATTATCAGTTATTGATTTTGTGTTCATTATTGTGTGAGCTTAAGCAACAATGAAAGGGAGGAGAAGATACTGAAAGGGAGATTGAAGTTGAAATTAGGGGAGGAGAGAGAAATTTGTTATGTAGTTCTTTTCCTTATCTATTCCTTTTCTTTTCTTTACTCGCTCTTCTTCTCTTTCCTCATGTTCTATTGCAGTGCCGTGAGAAGTTATTTACATGTTTTTTATCAAGGATAATGACAAAGTTCTTCTCTGTCCAGAGATGGTGGCTGCAGAGGATACCGCTGCCTATGGCATGCCCAAACTTGCCGTCTTCTAGTCAAGTTGGTAGGCAAGTTACCTTGGGTTTGAACAATAGAGACACCAGAGTCTTAACGCAGGGCTCTTCCCGATTATCTGGACGTGTTTCTGGATATATAGCTTGTAGGCATGACAGTGATACATTTTGTTCAGAGAAAAAGAACATCGGCTATTAACAAAATGGTGTTGTGTGTGCGTGTGTGGTTTGCCTACAAACAGTTCATACTGGAGCAGCTTTGCAACATAATAAGCCCTATTAAGCCAGAGCCGATATACTACTTGGTGCTGAATAAAGCACACACACAGGAAGAATTCATTCGAGGTTCAATGAACAAGAATCCATATTCATCTGCAGATATTGGACCTCTGATGCGTGATGTGAAGAACAAGATTTGCCAGCAGCTTGAACTTCTAGGTCTGATCGGTGATGATTATGGAATGGAGCTCCTTGTTGCTGGGAACATTATATCCTTGGACCTTTCAATACGGCAAGTGTATGAGCAGGTGTGGCAAAAGGCACAGAGCGGACAGCCAGGTGTCAGCTCTCCTTTTAGGGAGGGCACACCTATGACAGTCACATACCGGTTGCAGGTGAAGTGACTTGAGCCCTACCTTACACCCTTACGGTTTCTTTTCGAATTCGTGGCACTATTGAAATCTACTCAAACCAAAACAAGTGGCCCATTTCCGCTTAAGAAAGGCGCCTAAAAAAGAGGCTTCTTAGATTAGAGAAAAGAAAGCATCCAATGATTCCTTTCAATGAGTTCAATTCTTGTTGTCTGCACAGTGACAGTGCAGTCATGAACACGGGCTTGGGGGGAGGGAGGGGGGCGACACCAGGGAGTGAGGGGGAAGGGGATATTCGGATTGCACTGCTACTCGTGCTTGGAATGAATATGCATGAATTCGTGCTTCTAGCATGTCCATTCTGGAGCTTTGATGAATTCGTGGGTTCTTGGATGTGGTTGTGATGTGGTACCCATCACTGCATGTTTCAGAGAATATATAAGTTGTTGCCTGCAAACCAATTGCTTGGGGATGCGGTTGCAATGTGGTACCCAACCAGGCCATGAAGGCAAATATGATATTCATCTTCTCATTGTTTGGGGACAATTGACATCAATATGTTGACTAAACCCTGCATTCAACAGGCACTTGAATGGTAGGTATTTTGAATAAATGCTCATTTTAATGCTCATGTTTCTTGTTTGCTCTGAGTCTACAAATCCCATTTTTAAGTGTCTGATTGTTGTTCGTGCGATTAAGTGTTTGCAATGCAGTGTTTTGGGGGTCCATATCCATTCCGGGCAGCACCAGTCCGGTTCCTATTCCCCTGGCATCCATTCTGGGGAGCATCAGTCCGGTTCCTATTCCCCTGACAAGTCTTCATTTATACCAAATACATGCTAACGCTTCTGTTGCCTAAAGCACCCCTGGAGGATTGACTGTCAGCTTGCCATCTTCTCGAGTCTGTCATTGAACTCGATAATCAAGAATGAGATCACAACGCAGGTGGAATTAGAGCATTGTCAACTATTCTTGCGTAGAACAGCTCACGCCAGTCTCTGAAGTCCATATGGCATGCTGGTGTTCATGCTGTTGGCGGCTCTGTCTTGCAGTTGCCTTCTCAGAGTTGGGCCAACATTTGGCTCGATCCTTGAGTGATTACGACGTTGCCTTTCACCAACCATGTGTATTGCAATTTTGCTTTCTGCTTTCGTTTGGAGTCAGGGTCTCCTTGTATTAACAACCTTACCCTCCACCATTTGCACAGTATTTCTGCTTCCATCAGCTGCTGTGTTGTGGCCCATGCCTTTCCCCTGGAGTTCCTCATACCATCCAGCGCGGTGGTGCATCTTTCTTTCCATATTGCCCACAATGTCACCTTCTGCACCAGGCTGCACCATACCCTGTTCTGGCTTACTGAGATTGGTGCCGATGTTGGTCCATGACAGAAGCTGAGTAGGGTGTTCCGGGAGGGGGATGGAGATAACATTTTCCATGATTCAGAGGCTCTAGCCCACTATTCTGTCACCTCTTTGCAACTTATGAGACAGCGTATTAAAAATTCATGTTCTTGGTCTGAGCGTGCTACACATAGGACCAAACTATTCGGGTCCTTCTTCCTTCCCTAGCTGTGAAGCCAGTGGTTTACCTGTAGTGCTACATGAGCTACAGGCCATTGGGCACTCCTGATCTTAACTGGTCTGATTGTCTTGTATTTTATTCCATTGGATTTTGGTTATTGTTCTCTCTCATTCCCTATCAACAATAAAACTCATATAGCTTAGTCGGCCACAGGCGTAATGCTGCGCACTGAGCGCATTGGTTTTCCTGAGGTTTTGGCTGTTGGATCTTTATATCTACGGATGGAATTGCAGGAAACGTGAATTTTAACTGCAATGATTCAACTCCCAATCAGCATGCAATCACACACCGCGCGCAGTAGAACATTCGTGTGAAAAGTCACACTGGACACTGAGATGAAAACCAAAGTCGCTCACTGAAATCCACACGGAATTATTGTATCATAGAAAGAAATTGTTTGTGTCCTCCAGCGGCACCTGCCGCGCACCAACCAGTATGAATCAGGTGTGTAACTGCTCTCCCTCTCCCTCATGTGTGACTCTCCTTCTCTCTCTCATGTCTTGTATCACTCAACCTCCCTGTCACGCTCATGCTCTCGCTCTCCCTCATGGATCCACCCTGAATACAGCTGTGATGTACTCCTCCGAACCTCTGTGGTGATGGCCGTCTTCTTCCTCCTCCCTAGCGATGGTAACCAGACGTCTCCTTCCTCGCTGGGCACTTGCTCCTCCTCTAGCGCCCCATCCCATCCACGTCGCAGTGTCGCACAAGCAACCCGAAGCGCTTCAACAATTTGCACACAAGTAGTTGATCCCGCTGGCTGGTGCTGCCTTCTAGGCATCTTCTGTTGGTTATGGGTTGGCCCTCTTGCTTTTGTCCCCTGCTTCTGGAAGCTCACAGACTCTCTTGGGTTGGCTGCTTGCGCGACTCAACTGGCACCTGGCCTAACGGCTCTGGTGATCCTGGCTGAGGTTGTGGTGCCTCCTAAAGACAGAATCTTCAACCAGGGACTTCTTATCACGATCTACTTAGCTAGCTCGCCCAGGCCTCTGTAATCATGGTACAAACGAGAACTACTCTTCTAGACTATTCGTGCATGTTGTACAAGTGGCTGGAACCACTAATAGAACACGGAATGGGATTTGGGTCTAGAACCTGGGACTCAGGACTGGGACTTGGGACTGGGACCTGGGACTCGGGACTGGGACCTGGGACTCGGGACTAGGACCTGGAACTCGGGATTTGAGACATGGGATTCCGGTACATCATGAAATCCTTTCATAACGGTTTTGGGCTCTCTACGGGCTCGACATTTGCGACACTTATATGGTCTCTTTGTGTTTCGTTTTTCTTGCATTCTCCTGAACTCTCAGGGAATGTGAGCGCTGACATTGCTCACACTATTAAACGGATGCTTCTTGAGTGGTGGGAGGAACTGTTTGCGGTAAAGTGTCAGAAGTATCAGAAGAGGCATACCTTTCCCTATTTTGGCACGAGGCAGCGCTCGCTTTGTTTTCTTCGGTCGTTTGTTTTGTGGCTACGTGATCTCAGTTGGGGAATTACCTTTGTGAGTCACGGTGTCAGGAGAAGGAGACTGGCTCGGTGTTTGTTTTTGCATTTCATGCGGAGGGTGCGAACCGTCGTGCAAGGGTGTTTTCTTTCATCCGTTCATTTTGGTGGTTATCATTTTGCTGCGGAGTCTTTGTTTTTTTTTGTTTTTCTGCCGAACGGGCCATGGCCTTGGTTTGGGCCTCACGGCACCACTGACCAAATGTGCAAAATGAGAATGAATCTTCAGCAGTATTTATCATCCATATTTTTGTCCTTTCCACATTTGATGAGTGGCACGGGGAAGGACAGAAATATGGACGGTGTATCTCTCCACGTCCTAGACAAAGATTCATTCTCATTTTGCACATTTGGTCAGTGGTGCGGCCAGGCCCTAGGGGCCTCGGTCCAGTACTCACCAAATGTGCAAAAGAATGATACCATGCTGAGCGCCAGCATGGTATCATTGCTGCACAAGAAGGGCGACACAGAGGATCTAAAAAATTATAGACCTATCTCACTCCTCACAACGTCGTACAAAATCCTCGCAAAAGCACTGGCCAACAGGATCATAAAACTGACCGACAAATACTTCCACATCAATCAACCAGGCTTCATTCCCGACAGATACATATTAGACAACGTGATGACACTAAACGAAGAAGCAAAGAAGATCACCAAAAAATGAACGAAGGCGGCTATCCTATTCTTCGACTTCGAAAAGGCGTACGATAATGAGAAAAGCTACGATTTGATTCAACTAATTTATGAAGATCATCTCTTTTTTTTTTAGCAAATCCTTGTTTTTTCGAAGCATCTTGTATTTGGGTAGCGAAGCTTACACTTGTTCAATAGTTCGTCGTGGCTTTCGTAGTGCTCACACGGCCCTTAATGTTATAATGGGTACCTTTCATGGTGCGCAATGGTGTATCCCTGGAGGCCGAAGGCCCTGGAGCCGTAAATCATGGAACTCTGCATAAGATCATCCGGCGAACAATCCGAGATAAACGGATTCTCAAACTAATCCGCTCTGGACTAAGTTTTTTTTCATATGCCACACGGAGAGATTGAAGAGGCGACCATAGGTGCCGCCAGGCGGCGGCCCTTCGGTCTTAGTCCCCTACTATCAAATATATACCTTAATGAACTCGACCACTTTATAGAAACAACTATCCGCGAATATAACAAGGCTCGAAGAGCAGACGCTTCGCGTCTGAATCCCTATCGGGAAACCGCAATGAAGTTGACTTAGCGAACTGAAACATCTAAGTAGCTAAAGGAAAGCACATCAACCGAGACTCCGTCCCCCCCCGTCTTACCGCGGCTGCTGGCACGGAGTTAGCCGGGGCTTCTTCTTCGATTTTTGTCATAATCTCACTACCGATGAAAGAGCTTTACAAGATAAATCCCCTTCTTCACTCGTGCGATATTGCTGGATCAGGCTTTCGCCCATTGTCCAAGATTCCCCACTGCTGCCTCCCGTAGGAGTCTGGGCCGTGTCTCAGTCCCAGTGTGGCTGATCATCCGAAAAGACCAGCTAAGCATCATCGGCTTGGTCATAGCCTGTCGTGAAAGGAGATCACTGGATTTAGCCAGTCCTTGGAAGATCTCCGCCCGTGTCTCCGAGATGTAGTCAAACGGGGAGTTCGTGAACGCGAGGTGTAGGTGGGATACCCGACCAGACGAGGCAAGGCACGAAGCAACGTCTTCTTTGTATTTACGTTGATTACTGATGTACTTACCAGCACATGTAGAGATCCTAAATGTGGTGCATAAACCAATTTCGCCATAGTCGTTTCTTTCTGGAATATGTATACAAGTTAGTTGCCTGAATAAAGTCAACTGGGATTTCCTTCACACATGCATGGAAAAAATGGGGGTAGGCCCAAGATTCAGAGAATGGGTCAGAGTCCTATACTCCAACGCAACATGCGGCGTGCAGATTAACAAAATAT